CACAGACTTTCCATCTTGATGTTTACATGCCAACAGGGCTTGTGTAACTTCGTATTTTTCAACTTGAAGGAAACATGACTTAGGGAGACTCACTAGAAGAGGAGGAGGAAGAGTTGAAGAGGCATGACCTCTATTTCCACCATTTATCGAAGGGAACACACTTTCACGTACCTTGACCAGAATATGGAATATCATCTTCAGAAGGTAGAGGAAAAACATTTCCAAAAGAGTGAGGAAGACCATTGATGTCTGAACTTGACATCTATAATAAGAAAAAAGAGAATTCAAGTTAGGTGATTTTAATCCTTAATTATTAACCCATAAATTTAATTTAAGACTACGACCCATATTTTCAATTCGGACTTTGAAAAGGGATTTCGTAATCAAATTCGAATCTATTTTAGGTAGGTAAAGCATTTACCAATTTTAATCTCATGACACTCCTAAATCATTTGAGATTCATTGAATCTAATCACAGGCATGTTTAATCTCGATTATGCTCTCACTTTTTTGATTGTGATGTCGAGGATCATAAACGAGATGTGAATAACCATGCAAATTAGCTTGGTACTCTCGATGTCATTTATCATCTCCTTTTAATGTGTTGGTTAACCACACGTGCTCCATTAATCAATGATAATTTTTGAGATGCCCATTACCATCCTTTATTAGTCCCATATTAGCGTGTCGGTTAGCCACACGCACTCCACTAACGACTTATAAAGTGTAATGTGCAATTTCATGGATTAGCATCAACTCCACATTTTTCCTAAAGAAAATAGTTTAGTTACTTTTTATCATTATACTTTTAATGAGGTTATGTCCTATTAAACCCGTTCGGCTAACGACCCTCCACTATACAAGAGAGCTGTGGGTAAGAGTGTATACCCAATGACGATCATTTTATAGGCCGCTTCCTTAAACTTCCTTTATTGTATGGCTTTGTGAATGAGGCGTACTACCGGTTCGACTGACTTTTCTTATACATATAATATATATTAAACTTTTAATTATATACATACTATAAGGTGTATTTTAAAACATGTTAAAATTCCAAGGGTTTAATCTTTTAATAAATTAAACTTCTAATTTAATTAAATTTAAACCATTTATAGATTTATTAATTATCTTTTAATTAATCACTTAATTAAATTAATAATAAGATCCATAAGGATGTATTTTAAACCTTTTCAAAATACTAGGGTTATATTTTAAAATTTCAAAATTAATATTCAATTAATTAAATTAAAAATAAACCAATCATGAATTCAAGATAATGATATCCAATTAATTAGATAATTATTCAGATTTACTTAATTAAAACATTATTTTAGGTAATTATCCTAATCAACTCATGAGATACGCCAAAAATCCGAAATTAGTGGATCTGACTGTCCAACACGCCATGGTAAATAAACACCCCGCCGTGTTAGGACGAATTAGCAGGCCAACACACCATGTTGGAAGAACATCACGACGTGTTTGCGGAATAGAATAACGATTATGTTTGCTTCTCCTTGTTCAAGTTCAACTATTCTATCAATTCAATAAAAAACTAAACCTAAGCTCTGATACCACTAATAAGAATTATGCAAAACATATATTCCTATGTGCGCATGCAACCCTAAATAAATTGATCTACGTTTTCTCTAATTGAACATACAACTTGAAAAACAAAACATAAAACCCTAGCATGCTTCTATATATTTCGAAATTCACAATTAGGGTTAGAATAATCATACCTTGATCACTATATAACAATAGCAATCCAAATCCTTGTGTTGTTGAAGCCTTGAGAGCAAGCATCACAAATGTCACGCCTTTAATGGTTCACACCCAACACTAGCAAGGAAGAATGATTGAGAAAGAGGAGAGAGGTTACAAATTTCAGTGGGTGCTTCAAAAGAAGAGGTGTCCAAAAATTCTAGGATTACAACCCTATTTATAGTGCACTCAAGAAACCCTAGATAAGCCCAAATCCAAGATTATCTGAAACCGGGTAATTATCCACTTTCCTAATTATCTAATAAAGAGTATTCTAGAAACCCTAAGGCTCTATGAAAACCGTCCATGGCCTATGGAGGGTTCTAGATTACTCTTGCTCAACTATTGAATAATTACAATTCAGTCCCTGCACTTTTAATTTATTATTTTAATTCCAAAATTAATTCCAATTAATTTCTAACTAAATATTAATTAAATATTACTATTTCTAATTAATATATTATTTTCATAATATATTAATAAATAATTTATTTCAATTTATTAATCAAGTAATAAATCAATCCTCTCTCCAAAATCATCCTTCCTAGTTGCTAATTTTGAGGGCAACCTAAAAGGATTGTGATACTATCAATTCAAGTATATACTAATTATAGTTATGGGCTTAGACACCTGATCCAACACCTTTCCCATATTCTTCGGGTTTTACTTACATTATTTTGGTTGTGGATTATGTCTCTATGTGGGTGGAAGCTAAAACCACCCGTACTAATGATTCAAAAGTTGTGATAGATTTTATGAAGGCTAACATCTTTTCTAGATTTGGAGTTCCAGAAGCCTTAATCAGCGATCGTGGTTGACATTTTTGCAATCATATGCTTGGAGGTTTCTTGATGAAGTATGGTGTTACTCAGAAAGTCTCCACAGAACAGCATCCTCAAACTAATGGACAAGCCAAAGTAAGCAATCGACAAATCAAGAGCATTTTGGAGAAAATTGTGAATACAACAAGGAAAGATTGGAGTAATCGCCTCGATGACGCTTTGTGGGCATACCGCACTGCATTCAAGACTCCAATTGGAATGTCTCCATACCATATTGTTTTTGGGAAGCCATGTCGATTACCCGTAGAGTTGGAACATAGAGCTTATTGGGTGATCAAGAAATTCAATAAGGACATGGATGAGTCGGGAAAGAAGAGAAATCTCGACATACAAGAGCTTGAGGAGATCCGCAGTAAAGCATATGAGAATGAAGTTTTTTACAAAGAAAAGACAAAAGCATACCAGGACAAGCTGATATCTCGCAAGGTATTTGTTAAATGGCAAAAGGTATTGCTCTACCACTCTTATTTCAAATTAATTATTGGAAAATTAAGGTCCCGTTGGGTGGGACCATTTATTGCTACTAATGTTTTTGAGCATGGTGCAATAGAGATCATAAGTGAGAAAACGGGGAAGACTTTTAAGGTAAACGAGCACCGTTTGAATCCTTATTATAAAGGATTTGAAGTCAAGAACGAGGAAGTGGCGGAATTCACAGACCCAAAGTACCAAGATTGACAAATCATAGCGGTTGATGTCGAGCCACCGACTTTAAACAAGGGCAGCTACCCGAGAGGCAACTCGGAGGTATTTTCGTCATTTTTGTAAAATTTTCGTATGGACATTTGATTTCAATTTTTGTGTTCCAAGCTTCTTAGAATAAATAGAGAAGTCTAAAAATAATTTTTATGAGGAGCGGAAGCAAGCGGATGTGAAAATTGAAAAAAAAATTGTGCGCTTCACAATTTATTACGCGGGTCGTGTAATGCATGCCTTTGCAAAACACGATTGTGTAACGCCGATTTGGATCAGGAAAGCCTCAAAACACATCCGTGTTCCGATACCCTTACCATTACACGGGCCGTATAACGAGACCTGATGAAAAAAATTTGCCTTAAACGAATCGAACTCCTCTTTTTCTCATTCTTTCATCGACTCCCATTGTCTTCTCTTTTTCTCTTCACCAAAAACGCACATACACACTCATACAATTGATTTTCGCATGAATGTAAGCATCAAAGGTACGGATTTTTACCCTCTTTCTTCTTTCCTACTCTCAAGCAACTTAAAAACACCATTTTCATGGTGATTTTCGGAAGTTTTGAAGAACCCTAGAAATTAGGGTCCAAAATTTTTGTTTTAATTTCTTGAAATTGTTTGTAGGATAAGATTGGGGAAGCATTGTGGAAGTGATTCCAAGTGGTTTCAAGCATCAATTTCGAACTACAAGCTCCACATTCACGTATACTATTTCTAATTCCTCCACTTTGCATTATTAGTTAAAAAAAAGCTTGAATCTTTGTGCCTAAACTGTGAAATTGAGTGTGAAGTATGTGTTATTTCCTTGGATTGGTTGTGTATTGTGCTTAAGAGCAAAACTTTGTGTATCTCTCATGGCTTTGTGATCTCGTGGGGGTGGTAAAAAGGGTAATTCCAAGCGTTCTAGAGTCGTTGACTCTAGTGTTAGTCAACGTGGCCCAAATCCTCACCGCCAAAATTTTGGTGTTTTGGAATTCTTAGATTATCAACAAGAAGCTAGGTTTTATAATTTTCTTTGACGTAGGCGCGCAACACAGAAATTCGCGGACATGACCACTCTCGAGTCCCTCCATATACATGACCAAGTTTGTGCTTTGTTTAGAAATATTGGGTGGGAAGGGTTGTTGTCATTTCATGATGTTGGTTATGTCCAACCCACTCTTGGATTTTTGTCATCCATTTCATTCAATCGTCGAACTGAATATCTCTCATTTCGTGCTTTCAGCCGTAATTATTAGTTGCACAAAAATCCATTACGTGAACTCATTGGTGCTCCAATTTCCAATACTTACAATCCATTTCACATATTTAATTTTCCATTTCAAGAGGATTCTAAAGAATTTTCGGGGAGAATTTTGAGGATTGAAATATTTTCCAAGCGCTGCCAAGGCGTCAAGTATCTTTCATCTGGTTCTTAAGGCCACCCATCGCATCCTTGCCTCTGTCTTCTTTCCACAAAATAAGATAAGCAAGGCTGACCAAAAAGAATTAGAGATAAACCTGAATCGACTTCCCGATTTTAGATTATGGATCATTTTCATATTGTTGAATTTATCCCGTAGCACTAGTGGTAAATTACTTTCCGGGGGCACGATCATAATTATTCTTAAACACCCAGCTCTTGCCATTCGTTTTCCACCCGGTATCGATTTTACTGAGGGAAAAACTCGCCTAGCAACAAACATCCTGCAAAACATGCATTTGTTCCACGTAGATGATATAACACAAGACGTTTATTGGGATGTTTATTGCCGCGATTACCTCCGTATTGATCATCAAAATACCCAACTTGTTAGTTTGTCCAATCCCGTACACAACACTGTTTGGTGCCTTAGGTCCAATTTAGGTGTCCTGATGCTCGAGCTTGATTCTGATTCTGATGAGGATGAGCCCATTCCTAATGCTCCCATTCTTGATGCCGATGCGCCGATGCAGCAAGAGCCTATCATGCATCCCTATCATGACATGTACAAGCAAAAGTTTCAAAGATTGTATGACAAGAATAGGAGTTTGCATCGTGACTACTCTGAAGTTTATGATAGTGCTTATGAGATAAATACTTAGATGGTGGAGTTGAGAGAAGATTTCTATGCCTTTAGAGACGGCCAGCAAGCACACAATCAGCATGTGGATACCCTTATGACTGACATGCATCAGGTGCTTTGTTTGGGTGGTCAACCCACACGACTACCTTACTACCCTCAATATCCACACTACCCTCCACCATACAATCCGTTGTTTCCACAACAATATCCGCCACAATACACGCCCCCGTTTCCACCTCAAGATCTTCCTCAGTAATCGGTCCCACTCTCTTCCTAAGAATCGAGGACGATGCACATTTTTAAGCTTGGGGAGGGGTGAATTTTGCATTCCATTCATTGTATTAGTAAAATATAAAAAAATTGAATAAAAAATATTTCATTGCATTGTATATAAATAAATAAATAAATAAATAACATAACATAACATAACATAACATAAAAAAATACAAAATTTAAAAGCACAAAAAGATTTTTCCTTTTCATTTAGGTTTTTAGGGTCATTTTCATACATTTTCTCTCCTCTTTCTTCTCTTCTCTAGGATTCCTTTAACTTTTTGTTACAATACATGGTCAAGTTCAAAGTTTTGTCTACTTATACCTCGTTTACATGTGGTGTCACTAATTTGTGAAACTTTGGAACTATTGAGAACACACTTATTTGCTAATTCAGTAAGTGGCGGTGCATTGAGGTGTTTTAAGACATGCAGCTCCTCTTAAATAATTCGAGTCGCAACAGCTGACAATCAAATATAGGGCCTTTTAAAAATCCCGTGAGTACGTCATTGTGTGAATCGGTAAGGCATGGTATGGAGCAGAAGTTCATTTAGTTTTGTAGTTTCATTCTTGGTTTTATTTTGTTAGTCGTTTGTATATATATGTTTATTTTTCTTTGTTTTGTATTAAATACTAGTTTATCTTAATTGAACTTTTGTTGTATTATATATATGTTTTCGCTTGGTTCAAAAAAAATTGGTTAAAAAAAATAAACACAAAGAAGCAAAACAAAAAAGAAAATGAAAATGAAAAGAAAAAAAAAAGTAGGATTTATGCAGGTTTTCAATACTTATCTTTGTGTATTTTGAAGTCAAGCCACTTTTCCAAAAGATAATTGTTGAAGTTGTTTGTCATTTTCATTAAAGTTTATTAGTCGTAAATATTTAGAAGTTTGTTGCTATATTGTTCCTCAAAGTCAAAATCGTGAAGTCATGAAAGGCGGATTTCAATGTCAAATCTTTACAAGTTTGTATGCCTTATATATATATATATATATATATATATATATATATATATATATATATATATATATATATTGTTTTGGTCAAAAATTACACAAGTACTAATCAACCAAATTGAACGAGAGGTTGCGATGTTCGAATTGTGCAATAGCAAATGATAAAGAGACTGAGACAATGGTTTATAAGGAAATCCCTTGATCCTTGTTAGGATCTCCAGCACAAAACCTTGGGAGGTAACAATGATCACTTGCCTCGATGATTTTATTAATGTAAAATGATGATTACAGAGAGTATTCTCGTATCAACAAGTGAATAATTTCGTAAAGTAACCTTCTAGGAAAAAACAGTGTGTTGTAAGCGAGATACAAGTGTTAATTTATAGTCTAAACTAGCCAACAAGCTGTCCGATATTTCTGGGATCCTCTATGACCAGCTTCACGAACGTTATTTGACCAAGTATTCTGGGTCTTTAGCATAGTTGAGATGATTCTTTATTGAGAATAGGTCTTCCCTTGACTACTTCTGCATTTATATAAATTACAAACAGAATATAACCGTTATAAATGTTAATAAAAATAGTAACGGTGATTGTCGGGATCCTAAGGTAGCTGAGGATCCTGGATACTTGAGGATCCTGAATATTTCGAGGATCCTGGCCCTAACAATTGCCCCCAAGTTATTCCTGAAAATATAAGAGTTAATTTCGAAAATGTTAAAGGAATAACTTAAATTAAATTTAAAAGATGAATTTAAAATTATTCCTTATTGGATAGGTTTTATCTTTATCGAGATAATCGAGAAACAGTCAAATCATCTCTGTTATCTTTTCCTGGCTATAAAAGTGGACTTTCGGTAACTTCCTCTTTACTTCCTTCAGCCGTCATCATCTTACTGTGAAGGTAAATTTTCTTACTACTTGTTTCCTTTCGTCCCGTCAGTTCCTCTCGTCATGGCCAAGAAAGCTATTCGTTCTCGAGGTAGTGTTGTTACCTCTCCCGAGAATGATTTCAACGATCAAGCAATTTTAACCTATGATGAGGTTTGCTCCTTTGACGATGAGGATATAGAATCGTTGAAAACTATTGGGGTTTTTTCATCCACTGTAGTTTTCTGTCCTCTCAAAGCTACCGTCCAAACTGATTTTGTGTCTCTGACGTGGGTCTGTTTTCCTGAATATCCATTTACTTTAGGGTTAACCTATCCTTTTATTGGCATCGTTCGCGATTTCTTTCTGACTACCCAGATTTCTTATATCCAAACTATGACTGTGGTCTTGAGGATCCTATTTTGGATTGACCGCTTAAATCAGTCCAAACATATGGACATTGGATCATTTGAGTTGGCTCTCATTTATGATCTTTCTACTTTTTGTTCTTCTCGTTTCCTGTTAAGAGTCAAGACAAACAAACCCCACCTCATTCTCAAATCTAAACTAAATGACGGCGCTTGGAAGGATAATACTTCTTTATGAGACGTGACTCGATTCCTGAAGGGGATTCCCTGCCACAAAACATGAATTAAAAAGGGTAGGATTTAATTTAGACTTTTAAGGATCTTGAAATTTACTTCCCTTATTTTGTTTGTTTTGATGCAGTGTTCAAATTTGAGGAGCTCGCTCCTCTTGCTGGCGATTCTGAGGACAATATTTCCAAGTTTCTTGCGCGTCCTGCACTCGAGAGGTCGTTCAAGCTCGAACATTCCAGTCTCCAATAGGTTTCCTCCACTACTGCCTCTATGGCTACTCGTAACATTATTTTTCTCGGATGTGTCTTTTAGAGGATCCTGATTTAATAGGGATCTCTGGCAGGTTCAAAGACTACCCGGTCCAAGGCCCATTTAGGTTTAGCAGATCTTGAAGATGATATGACCAGCGGTTCGATCAAGGTCAAGCAGGAAAAAGGTGTCATTATTCCTCTTCTCAAGAGATCTCATATAGATCTTATGGTTAAGGCTTCAGGATCCCAAAAACGAAAGACTTCTAAGGCTGTAGACTTCAGCCTGGAGAACCTCAACATCGAGGATGCTCTTGGGAAGTTATTCTCATTTTCCCAAGCTGTAAGTATTCTACACATAGGCATTATTTATATTAATCTATCATACCTGTTCTTTCTCATGCTGATGTTTATGTTTCTTCCACGTCTCCGTTCATGTTTCCCATGTTATTAACGACATCAGGGTCCGTATCGATAAAGCTGAGTTTGTTCTAAAAGAGCAGGAGAAGATATGGAGGGTCACCAATGAGGATCTTCTCCAAAGGGTGGAGTTTTTGAGTAAACAAAAAGTCGAGAAGGAGGAAGAGCATCTCACGGATCTCGAGGAGGTGATTGCTGATGCAAAGACAAGTGTTGGGATAGCTATTCTGCAGGCTAAGATTAAGCTGGCGGAGGATCTGGAAAACGCAGGTTCCTGGGACGTGGACGTATGGCGCAAAGCATTGGCCAAACTAATCGATAAGCCTACTATCCCCAATCAGGATCCTATGTTGTTGCTGACCGGAGGAGGGGAGAAAAAGGACGCGGTCGATGATGATCAAGCTAAGATCTAGGCCTGCAAAAAATTGGCTTAAGTAGTTTTTGTTTTTTTCAGCGATATAACACAATAAATCTTTTGGCTTGGTTGATATGCAACCTTTTTTTAATGACATGGTAGTATTTTCCTCTTATATCTTTCTTCTATTTTTTCTGCATGGCTGTTACGATACTAGGATCCTTAAATAATTAGGATCCTGGAAAGCTTGGTTCCTGCGAATAATCCTGAAACAGAATTTCTTCAGTAGTTCATTTCTAGCATATTTGAATCTTGGTAATTAGATGATTTTAGCTTAGGACCCTGGAAAATTTAGGATCCTTAAACTTTATCTAAAGTTCTTTGAGAATAAGGATAGATGGAACCTGATTATCTCCAAGTTTTTTCTTAAGCTTTGTAAGTATTGAAATTTGATGAGGATAAATCTCCGCTTATGAGAGAACTTCGATTCACGGCTGATAATGAGGCTCTTTACCAATAAGGGCTGCTGAGGATCCTTAAAGGCAAGGATCCTTACTGACAGAGATCCTTAAAGATGAGGATCTCAGATCATACATGGGAAATCTCTCTCCTTAGGATAACCTGTTTAGGTTATAGACTTTGACAAAATTCTTGTGTAACACCATAGGTTCAATGGATAACATGTTAATATTATATACTGGGGAGGATCCCGACTTGTGATATATTTCATGGGAAATATCCTCACTTATGATAACATGAAAATGTTATGATTCAAGTGTATTCTCTGGGGAAAATTCCCCACGTATGATAACATGAAGATGTTGTAGACCTTATGTAGTTTCTGGGGCAAGATCCCATTTTTTTGGATAACATTAGAATGTTATAAACCTTAAGGATCTCAACTTGTGTTCAAATATAAGAGGGTTTCCAAGCCAATGAATCGTGAAATGATCCTCTTATCTGTATTCCACAATTAGATATCATGCGTCCAAGCGAGGTGTATAAACCTTAGTTCGTGTGAATGACGTAATTAGCTCTTTAAACCTTATAGGAGATTAAGTACCCTTAAGCGTAGGAGAGATGATCAGTCTTTAGCTTGTGTATATGATAGTTTAAAGATTACATCATTAAATATAATGAAGTTTATCAAGTATTAAGACGTTGAGATCTTCATGTGTCAAGATCCTTATGTTTCAGGATCTTCAACCTTGAGGATCTTTATGTTTCAAGGTCTTCAACCTTGAGGATCCTTAGTTGTACGTTATTCTGCATAGCAAACATTAGCTAGGGGTGGGTG